TGTTGTGCGACGACGCGTGCGAGAGGATCTCGCGGTGCATCGACACGAAGCGCTCGTAGAGACCCTTGTCCATGGCGAGAGCGACCGCGCTCTTGAAGGTCGCCTTCTCGTCCGCGTCGAGGGCGTCCCACGACTTGCGCACGCGGGTGCCGCAGCAGCCGTACGCCTTGCCGCACTTGGCGCCAGCAATGGAGGACGTTGCGTTGGACGAAGCCTCGAGCGCCGAGACGCCGAGGATGCAGAGGATGGCTGCGAGAAGCAGCTTGTAATAGACCATGCGTATCGTTGAAAATGGGATATACTCGAGGTCGAGCGAGTTGAGAAGTGAGCGCAGGAGGGTCGTTGGAGTCGATCTCACGGGCGATGGCGACGACGGGGCGTCATTGATAGAGCTAGCATGGAATCCGGACTGAGATGTGCTGTTGGCGGTTGATGCAATCGGTGGGAGGTTGCGTTGCTTAGTGATGCGGCATGTGAAACGGTGGTACAATTTGAGACCAACACCTGATCGGTTACATGGGCTGTTTGCAGATACCACGGGGCGGCCAGGGGCAGAGTGGTACCGTTGATGTTGAGCCAACAAGACGGACATAGTGGGAATACGCGAGCGTGGTTGGGTTGTGCTGGACCTGTGTGATTGCAGCGTGTGTTATCAGTGATGGTTGCTTACAAGAAGTTCGCTCCATTACACGCTGTGAGAAAGCGAAGTGGGATCTTATGGATCTGGCCGAATACTCTTCTACCGGTACTACTTCACGAGACGCTTGGAAAATTACGAATGTCATAAACGGCGGGCATTTAGTGTAGGTCTTGATTGCAGTGATTTGGTTCGCTTTGTGAGCGCCACGTATCTCGCATGTGATTGGTGGCCGTTTCACGTAGCTTCCTCTGCAATGCGCCACGTCATTAGCGTACTCGACACTAAGGTGTCGTACAGTTTATTTGCAATAGTAGATGTCAGGGTACGCGTTGCTTGCAGATACAATGTACTAGTGAAAGCCATATATCCTAATCGCCTAGACTATTAGGGATCCTAGATACAATAAACTAGTACACGATGACTGAGGAGACGCAGCTCCTGTGATGCAAATCGACCCCAAGGCACGATCAGTTGGGAAGAAAATGCCATGGACGGGCGATCTATATCAACGCACGAGATATTTGATGCTCCCGAAGCCAGTACTTTTCATTTGAATCTCTACCCAGCATGTCAACCACGCCCATGACGCTCTTTTGTGAATTTGCCGACGTCTCGTTTCCTTCTTTTTCAGAGGACGTGTACCGCGTGCAAATGAAGACCAACGCGGCGCAGACCAGCGCCGAGATCTGGCTCGAGTCGCAAAGAAGACCAAGCTCCAATGGTATGGTCGAGTTCTGTACCGCTATTGTACTGACGTCAATATGATGGACAGGCAATGCACGATCGAGGATTTTGACAAGCACATTGCGTCCCGGTACGCACTTCCAACGGCAGTCGTTTTGACAAGCTTCAAGGTACACTTCCATTCCTGTTGAAGGTTGGTGAAATCTTTGGTTTGTCACTAGAATGGCCTCGCTGCAATCAACGCGAACAAGCCGATGCTGCTCGATACTGCAACGAACCGCACTCCTCCATGCACTGTCGACGTCTCTGCTGCAGTCGAATCGATGGAGCTCAGTCTTTCGATCGAGCTGTCGCCCGAGTGGAGTGCCCTCTACAGCTTTGCGATGCGACCAATCAAAGTCGACCCCATGGCTGTTTTGGAAACTCGTATGCGGGACCTCGAGGAGATGATTGCTCGACCTCGCACGGCTTTCTGCGTCTTGACAACGATGCTAGTCTGCGAAAGCGAAGACGAAAACGTCATCAGCTCGTGCGAGTGGACGGCCCCGAAGCCAACGGAAGTGGCGGCGCTCGTTCGCCTCGACGAAGACGCGAAATGCATCGTGGTTTTGCAACCTGGACTGTATCACATTCACTGCACCTTCTCGGCTGACCGTACCCGGTCGTTGACGACGTATCTCTCTATTGACGCAAGCGTCAAAACGACGTCATTCAAGACGCGGGTCGACACTCGGTACCCTTTTGACGCAGGCCACACTACCTACCTCGACGCGGGTGCCCGTATTCAGCTGCGCTACGCCATCGGCGGAGGCGACGCTACTGGGTCGATGACGATCTTCTTGCACGAGCGTAGCAGTAGCACTTTCTGAGGGGTAATCTTCAAATTCATTGATTGCTCTGGAAATCTCTCTGCCTCTACAAGATCCGAGTTCTGTCCAAATGTCCTTGCAGCAGCCGCGACGGTCAAGAAGGGTGTGGTGTGTGCTGGGATGCAGCTGTGGCAAGCCAATTACCGGTAGTCAAAGCCCCGTGCGATGTAAAAACCCAAATCACGCGCCGGCAGGTGGTAGAATGTGTGTCCTCAATCACATCAACATCTGTAGGCCTGGGACAAGATGTTTGTTGTTGTCATGCTAGTACTATTAATAGAAAAACCGCGTGAGCGTCAAGACGAACAAGCTGCAAACCAACGCGGTCATGTGGCTCGAGTCCAAGAAGACCAAGCTCCAGTGGTACATGTCGTAATTCCTCTTATGTCTTTTCACGGTATATAGGAACTGCGTACACGGAGTCAACGTACGCGCTTCCAAACGCGGTCGTCTCGGCAGCCATCAAGGTACGATTCCAGCTGTTCACAACCAAGCGCGAAATTTTGATATTAGAACGGACTCGCTGCGATTGATGGGGCCGCATCGAAGATGGTCGATGCTGCGACAAAGCCACCAGTGACGCCCGCCAGCACGATCGACTTGTGTGCGAAGAGGCCGAGCTTGGCGCTTGCGCTTGAGATCAAGATGTCGCCAGAGTGGACAGCAGGGTACCGCTTTGAGATGACGTCCATCGAGGTCAAGGTCGTCGACATTTTGGAAGCTCGCATCCGCGACCTTGAAGAAGCCAAAGCTGCACCGCGCATGGGGTTCTGCACCCTGACATCGACAGCGTTCTATGCCACCAGCACTCCCACTCCGTGCACATGGACGGCGTCGACAGCATCGAAATACTCTTCTATCCAAGTGTGCGGCTCGTATAATGCTGCGTCGCTACAAATTCAAGATGCATCCGTTGGCGTGGGACAGGACAACCCGTTGGTCATCTCTCAGCACGACTTGCTTCCGAAGGTCCTATATGTTTTATAGCTAGTGACAATCAAAACGAGTGGTGTTGGTGAGAGACCCTATGCGAGAAAGTGCTCACGCCGCCAACGGGCCCTTCGTGATCGCCCAACTGCACGTTGTACAATCGAAACCAGAGCCTCGTATCTCTTGTCATATCTGTTTTGGATTCCTCTCGAGCATGTCGAACACTGCCTCCACGCTTTCCCAACGCTACTGCGAGTTTGCCAACGTCACCTTCCCATCGACGGTGGACAATGGCGCGTACCGCGTCAGTGTCAAGACGAACAAGGATCAAACCAACGCGATCATCTGGCTCGAGTCCAAGAAGACCAAGCTCCAGTGGTAATGTTACTCGATTCCCAATATTACTCTTCATGATACCGGGTATGTGCTAGGAGATGCGCGGTTGAAGACTTTGCCAAGCACACGGAGACGAACTACGCGCTTCCAAGCGTCGTCGTCTTGGCAGCCATCAAGGTATCATCTCGTCTTGTTGCATCTCCAAAAGCAAACGATTTGATGGTAGAATGGACTTGCCGCCATTGATGGAGCCCCCGCGAAAGGGCCAGATGCGGCAGCTAACCCATCTGTGACACCCGCCAGCACCCTCGACTTGGGCATGAAGAAGGACACGTTGGCGCTTGCTCTCGAGATCAAGATTTCACCCGAGTGGGCGACAGCCTACAGCTTTGAGATGACGTCGATCGAAGTCAAGGTCGTCGACATCTTGGAGGCTCGCATTCGCGACCTCGAAGAAGCCAACACTCGACGACGTGTTGCATTTTGCACTGTGGCAGGGACGTCTACTGGTGGAAACGCACCGTGCACATGGACCACGCCGAACGTGGATAAGTCACTGGCGCTTCTTCGCCTCGACGACGATGCGCAAAGCGTTGTCGTGGTGCAGCCTGGCGTGTACACCATCCATTGCGTCTGCCAGTCGGCGAGTGCTTCGTCTGCGTCCATCTCCCTCTACATCGGCGCGACGTGCATCAAGACATCGTCTTTTTCGAACCAGCCCATCTCGAACGACCACGACTACCAACCGTACAACTACGACTCGTTTCAATGCTGCTCGAGCCATCAGCTCGACATCGCCCATGTTGCGCATCTTGACGCTGGCACCCACCTCCAGCTTCGCAATAGCAGCACCGCCGGTGGCGCTGTATAGATGACGGCATTTTTACACGAAAGTGCGATTCTCTAGACGTCGAGACTACACACAGGCGTAATGCGTTGATATGCTAAGAATCGAGTCGCATCCGATGATATCCGTATTCAAAAAGGATGACAAGCTCCAACATGCTACGCAATACTTTAGTAGGTGGTAAAGATAGTTCCAACGTGCACGACAGCACTTCCGCCCACATTCAAATCGGTAAATTGGTATAAAATCTTTGTACCATTTCAAACAACCTACCGCCTAGTACGTGTCACCGCGGCACTTGAAGAACTGCTCGTTGATGTTGCCAAACGCTTGCAGCGCAATCGTCGCTTGGCCACTCAGAAGCGCGTGGAGCGACGCCAACTGGTCCGTGAGCGCCGAGATGCCCCACTCGAGCTTGAAGGACGCCGAGAGGTCGACGGCGCCGCCTGCGACGCAGTTGTGGTAGTAGAGCACGAGCACCTTTTCGATCTCGACATCGCAGTCGAGCGACGAGAGGCCCTGGAGCGTGCACTGCGCCGCGAGGGCCGCGCGCCACTTGAAGTAGACGTCCGTGGCCTTGTTGGGCGCGGTACTAATCTCGGTGATGTTGGACTCGGAGTGCACGACGGCGCACGGCGTCTCGGCGAGCACCTGGAGCGGCCCCGTAAACTCGTACTCGTAGCTGTT